GTATGCAGAAATGCTGTAAATTACGGTGTTTATATTCCCAAGAAACTCTCACTGAAGTTCCCCAGACTCCAAAGATAATGCTTCTCAAAATGTTCATTACTGAAGACAGTAAAAGTGAATGGTCTTTAGAATTCATGTGATATACTACTAACTAGAGGGAGAATAATACAGAAATACCTTCTTGATGATGTGTGCTAAAGCAGCAGGCATTTAAGAGCAATGTATGTCAATCTCTGAGATTTTTGTAAAGAATTGCAATTTATGACGTGTTAGGGTAAACAGTTGGATTATATTTCTAAAATGCATGTTCCATCAGGTAGAATCATTGTGATTATAGGCTCTCGTATTTTAAGTAAGTAAGTTGTGCACTAAAAGGCTGAAATTGTAAAACAAGTATGCTTGTGCTTAACTGGTAATCCCTCTTTGTATCTACACAGAATAAACTACAAGAAAAGAAAAACTGCATTACATTTATTAAAGGAATAAATGGCATGTTATGTCATCTTGATAAATAATGACTTTTATACTTTTTTTTCCTTCAAGAAGCTACTGTGACTGGCCTTCCTATTTTCCCTCAGTGGAGAATGTGCTTGAGTGTAAAAAATGGAGGTTTATTTAGAAATTACTTTGTTCATGCTTCTTATGTGACAACAGCACATTCTCTAAATTTTCTTGCTTTGCTATTTTTCCTTCATTTCTGCTTCAGTTCTTATATGTCACAGAAAGCTAGACTTTTTATTTCAACAACTACCTACTGTCACATAGAATGTAGGTTTCAAATAACACAAAATAATAGTTGCTTTAAATGGTTTTGCATATGCTTGACAGCAGAAGATAATAAATGAAAATAGATGTTCAATATTTCTTCTAATGCAATTTGTGCCATGTCAATGTCGAAGGATTATAACAACAAATCAACAAATATTTGAAGGAAAACAATATACATAACTTACTTTCTATATTAAAAACAACTGCCAAACAATTACTATATGACCTCATGAATTAGTTGGTTGTTTTGAAATATTCCTCCTAGGATAAAAAAATGCTATACGGGCCTTTGAGCCTGAACATATTGTGTCAATCATGAGCATATGCAACGTATCTAAAGCATGAGGTGAAATTTTTCTTTGTAAATTATTTCATAAATAAATAATTTGCTTCAAAAAGTTTATGAAAATATTTTTGCTTTTATTAAGTTCTCTACAGATCTCGGTTAATATAAACAGATTGATATTGACATCTTGATCTGCTTTATTTTAACTTGAAATGCAGAATGTTTCATGCAAGCATTATTTTACAAGATACTGTAGCACTTTTCTGTGCAATACAGTATTTCACTAAAGCTTCCTGTTTTAAATAATGAAAAAGCAATTTGTTATGCTAGCAGTTTATGACCTGTGCATTTACTATTTCATTCTAAAAGTACAGTACACGTTTACATGCCATTCTGTATCTTTTCATGTGATTTAAAAATGAACATCCTTATTTTTCTAGTGAGTTTTTCTGCAGGTGAAAAAAGCTGTGTATATATTCTTAAAGGTTTGCACTTGTTGAAGCATGTACTTTCATTGTTACCAAACTTTTAAATGTTTTATCTCTTGTAGTTTAAAGTCAGGGAAAGTTGCATTCACATATTTTATGAGCAGGGATAGGACTGAAGGTGTTGTGTGTGCGTGCGTGTGCGTGCGGGTGTGTTATCATTTCTCCTTTTAAGATAAAAGCCATTAATTGAATAAGACACAATAGAGCAGAGAAGCAAAAGGGAAATAACCCTTGTTTAAATATTTTCCATTCAAACCCATCTTATAGAATGTTTAGCCAAATTATCAGCCAAGTACCTGCTTGTTTTAACCTTTTATATACTGGACTGATAGGTCAGATCAGAAAGACTAGTCAATTTAGTAAAAAATCTAAATTACGTAGACCTGAGAACAAATTTAGGTTAGATTGAATGGATTAATTATTTCTCAGCATAGTACATAATGAGCAAAAGTTTGTGAAAATGATTCTATACCTTGCCTCTTTGATTAAAGTTCAGCAGTTACATTTGCAGCTTTTTTAAAAAAAAGTGAAAATCTGCCTTTCCAGAAAGCACTTTTACTGTGCACGTTAGTGATATGCTACAGTAAATTGCTCTGGCACTAAAGTACATAGGTAGTCATTAGTAACAGACTTTAAATTTTACTGAAGATTTTGGAATTACTTTTCTTTGCATTCTGTATAAAAACATAACTGTTCCAAAATGAATTTTTGCTGATGGGGATATGGTAAATCCCACACATAATATATCAGTTCTCTTCTCTTCTTTCCAGGGAGGTACAGGATGCTTCATCGTGGAACTATATTTTACTTATCCTTTTCAGCCTGACAAGTTCACCTCTTATACATGAATTATTGTTTTTCTATTCATAAAGTGCCTTATTAGGCAACCCTACAAAAGAACTTAAGGGGGAAATGTGTTACTAGGTGATTTACATGAGCAATTACTTTACAAATCTGCCATTATATTATACTAAACATAAATGAAGTATGTATGAGTCTAGAAAAATGGATGAAAATGGCATATACTTTACTGTAGGATTTTTACTTTACCTCAGTTTGTATCTTTGAATTTTTTTTGTTTTATACTTAAGTTTTTCCTGAAAATAAAATTGTAAGGCAAATATGATGATATGTGAAACACATTTTGTGGGAAATAACTTAATCTCTAATATTTTAATGACATAACTCTTTTTTTCACTTTCTCACATGAATTATATTTATTGTTATTTGCAAAAATCCAGAATGTGTATATTTTAGTATGAAATTAGTTGAAAATGACTGGCATAGAAGGAAAAACATGCCACATAAAATCACCTAACTGCAGAAAATTGTGTCCAAATGCCCAACAAACGTTTACATAGTTTTTAATGCCTACTCTATTTGGGATTTAAAATCCTTTCACAGGAACCGTTTATGCACTGCTTCTCCTTTGACTTTTTTTTTCTTCCATACAATCATATGCAGACTTCTGGCAATTTGTGGTATGGGGAAAATCTGACTTTTTAATTTAAAAGATTCTGTATAGACATAGAGAAGTGTGAAGAACTTTCTGAAGAGAGGGTTGGGATTGTCCTGTGTCGGGTAGCACAGAGAACCAATAATGGTTTGTATTAATTTGAAAACTGAGAAATAATATAATACTGTAATAATAATAAACTAGTCTAGACTTCTCAGTAAATCTTGCCTACTTTGTGTTTGTGTTATTTAGATTGTAAGATCTTGGGGGCATGGACTATATATTTTGTGATTTGGACAGTGTGGTATTGTCAGTTCTATACAAATAAAATAATAATAATTAATAATATTAATTAAGGCTGTTGTTAGAAACTGATCCCACTAAGTGAGTTGCCCTTTGCACAGATCAGGGCACTCCACTATCATGCCTCCTACTATTCCCCCCGCCAACTTAGAAAAAGTTCCAGTTGTTTTTCTCTCCCTTTGTACTGGATCTAAATGAAAGGGAAACGTTGAGAGCTACAGATGCCTTTGCATAGCACATTCGGGCACAAATCTTGTGCAGTTTTAGAAAAGCTGAGAAAAGACCAGCAGCATTAACAAATAATTATTAATAAATAACAACTATTAAGAATCAGGACGACCAGAGAGCCTATTTCCCTCTCAAACTTTCCCAAGGATGTGATCTGTCTGGCTGAATCCATTCCTCAGTGAAGCTCCCGGCACTAGAGCATCCCGCATAAAGGTTAATTTAATTTACTTAAAAAAAAAAAGTTTGGAATGACTTGGTCTATTCCAAAGCCGCCTATTCCCCAGTGGTTGCTGCTGCCTGGCTGTAGGAGGAGGCTGATCAGAGCAGCACTGTGGGGACGCCTGTACTGTCTCTTTAAGGGCTCTCAGTCTGGGGTGGCGCTTTTCTCTGCTAAGGCTCCTTTGATATTAATAGTGTTGGTGTCTTGAAACTGACGTAATGCTCGGAGACTGAGGTCCTGACAAGCGATAACATTTCTGATAAAGAGCTGATCTTCCTGCAATCTAAAGCCGCCTCCTTTGGGGGCTTGTTGTTCCACTAGACCCAGGCTCTCCTCTCTCTGTCTCTCTCTGTCTCTCTCCTCTTTTATAAACACACCAGGCACATCCAGGTCCCTGCTCTCTTTCCCTTTCTCTCTCTCTCTCCCTATAAAGAGGGGGGGTCAGGGGGAGAGGGGGAAAGGCAGGAGAACCTCTCCCCCCTCTCTTTCTTTCTCTCCCCCCTTTACTCCCCCCAAATAATCCAAGATCAACTCTGCAAACAACAGAAGACGGTTCATGGCTCAAACCACAGCTCCACCATCTTTCAGGCTGCTGAGATTATTATTGCCGATTAATCAACAGGTAAGGGGGGTGATGGTGGGGGAAGAGAGATCGGGGGGTGGGTGGGAAGAACAGATCGAGGGGTGGGGGAGATCAGCAACAAAAGTGTGTGGGGGTGGGGGGGGGGTGGCTCTTCCTGCTCCGTCTGTTGATATTGCGTATGTAGTAAGTGTGTTGCTCTGTGCTAAGTGCTGTGTGTGTGCAATGGGAGGGGGGGGTGGGGGATTTAAAAGTGAGTTTCTTTGCACACACACATATACAAAACGGGGGGGGGCGGTTAAAAAACCAGAGGGAAGCGGGGGCTTCTCGGATTTCACAGGCGGGGGGGGGGTTTGGGTGCATTTTTTTCTCCCTTCTTTGGAGGGTCAAAGCCATGTGTGATCGCTGGAAACTGGCGACTTCAAAACTGCAGTAGCCCCTCTGGAGTCAGGAGGAGGGTCAAGTTCAGCCACCGAAGAGAGCAGGGCAAACAACCCCCTTCTCTGTTTTAAGAGTCTCGTCTTCTATTTACCCAAGGAAGAAGCGGGGGGAGGGGGGCAGTTCCAGGGCTATCTCCCTTCGCCCCCTCCCGTATGTGTAGCTACTTCTTATCACTCTGATTGTTCGTTCCCCACCATCGGGGCGCTGGAGGGGAGGGGGCGGTGGAAGTAGAAGAAGAGCAAAGCGATTTTGCATCCGATGAGCCGCAGTCGCACAGTGCTGGCTGCTGCTGCTGGAAGTTTTAATGGGAATCATGACAAGCGGGGCACAGAGAGACCATCATGAAGAGTAGTAAGTTTGGGACAAACTTTTTTTTTTTATTTGTCTTGGGGATCCACCAGGGGAGGCTGGGGGGTGTGGGCATGAGCCGAGGGGGCTCCGTTCCCGGTCACACCAGGGGAAAAGGCGACATGCTGGGGGGTGTGTGTGTGTGTGTGTGTGTGTGTGTGGTTTTTTTAAAAAAAAAGGAAATCGGAGAGTACAGAGAGAGACGTAAAACTTTTTCCTCTTAAAGGCAAAGTTGTGCTCTCAGAGTTGAGTCCCCACGCCGAAGCTCTGGCCAGGGTTGCCATAACTTTGTCTGGTGTCCCACTTTTTTTTTTTTTTTTTTAAACCTCTCCCTTGCTTTCTCCATTTGGGCTCTGTGTGACGTTGTTGTTGTTGTTAATGTCTGCATGAATGGGGATGTGGAGAGACTTCCTAATAGTTCTGGAGAGGAAAGTGTGGGGGTGATGATGGGGTAGGTGTGTGTGTGTGTGTGGGGGGGGAAAGATGTGTGTGTGTGTGGAATGTGTGGCTTGTTTAAAAGCTCCAGGGTGCAGGAAGGTGGCCCAGTGGTGTTTGGTGGGCTGTACAAACTCACTCTCTCTCTCTCTGAGTTTCTCTGCCTGTGATCACTGGGCATGGGAAGTGGACCCAAGGAAAGTGGACCCTGGCAATCAGAACTGATTCTCCAGAAAGACCCACAAACTTGCAGGACTCCAACAGCATTGTGGGCTATTTTTCAGTGTAGAATTGTTTTGTGACTTGAGCAGCTCATTAAGTAGCACCTTGGTTTGACATTTTGGTATGTTTTATTTATTTTTCTTTATTACATATAACATGAATTTTAATGTTCCAGGACTCTCATACACTATTTTGGAAGGAATAGAGTGGCCCATTAACTTAAAAAGAATCAGACATTCTCCATCCACAAATGTCACATCTCCAAAGTGCATTGAAGGCATGGTGCACTGAAAAATGTGGGGATAAACCATGCGTTAAAGTGAAGACTTCTCTTAATTCCATCCCCTTCTCCCTTCGCAAATGCAAATACACTGTCTGATAGGAGAATGAAATGATAAATGCAAGGGGACAAAGCAGAGAGGGTGTGGGAGGAAAATACTTACTTTTAATATGACGACTGTAAGCTCTTTGGGGCATGGACTCTGAACTATCTTTGCAGTTCATACAGCACAGCACATTGTAGATGCTACTTGAAACAAAAATGTTAATAACAACTTGGTTTTCATTTCATTTAGTAAAAGTATAAAGAGCAATCAAGCCCTTTGCCATTTTAGCTGTCTTCTTCAACTGCGTAGAAACCTATGAGTCTTGGTGGCATCATGTTACTTTGCTGTTGGTTTTAGGAAAAGTTGATCATTTAGAAAAGACTGCCAGAGTTAAAAATGCAAGGGGCAGCAAAGGAAAGTTAGTGGTAAGAGCCAGTTCCTGACGTGGACAAAATGAGAATAAAAGTTACAGTCGTCTTTCTGAGCTGCAGTCAGTGTTTTCCTCATGTTCACCAATACGTGCGTTGGGTTAGAGAGCTCTCTCAGATATTCCACCAGAGTGACATTTAAAAAAACCCAAAACAACAAACAAACTCCAAAAGAGTGAGGATTTTTTTGAAGTACTGTAGCTCTATGAGTAAATACAGGGCTTGTTTGAGAACATCAACTATTTCCTGTAAATTGTGATGCTGACAAGACTGTCTGGAAATGATATCAACACTTTGAAAGATTGTTTTTAACTACTGAGTGAAAGATTGTTAATAACATAATTAATCCAAACAAGAGAACACGTCTTCCTTTAAAAAAAAAAAAGCAAAAAAAAGCAGACAAGACTTATTTTTATTTTTAAAAGATAAAGATACATATACGTAATTTTTGATAAGCTATAGATCATTCAGTAAGCCACATATAATCACCGATGTTGTACTGCATTAGAGTACCAGTATCTTACAACTAACCTCTAAAACATAGGACAACAAGATTCTGCCTTAAATTTACATGATTGAGGAAATTCAGATATGAGAAGAACATTTGGTTCATAATCCATCCTGTTGTGCCTGAAAATCAGAGTTTATATGGCATAAAATAATTTCACTCTGTTTGAAACTACTTGTGTATAGGGACGCACAACGAAGTGTGCGCAGGACAAAGTTTCATCGGCTTTAAGTTTTCATTTTTTGCTTAGGATGCTCTCACTCAGACTTTGCATATTATCTGGAGATTTTGTATGCGCGTGTGTAGTTTAAATTTTATTTTATTAACATTACAATAAAGTAAAAAAATAAACCGTCATTGACAAGCTCTGATATCCGAGGCTTCTTGAATCTTGGTAATGTATGTACAATTAAGCCAAGATTTCCTTTTTTTTTTTTTTAATAATGTATTCATAGTATAAACTATTCGATGGCTTTTTTAGAGCCTTTTTGAGCTAACCTACGTGTTTACCATCAACAGAGCACATTCTATATGATTACATGAATCCTTGTAGAAAGGATTTTTTTTCTGATACATTTTATGTATCATTCTTAATAAACTTTCATAGCATGCCCTCTACCATGTGTGCTCTGAGTGTGTGTGAAGAATAATATATTTATATATTATAATTCTATACTTATACTTATAATTCTATACTTCTATAGTACTTTATGGGGCAATTATTTTGAAGGAAAAAAGAAAACTTTTTTTAAGTTACAGGAGTGTGAAAAAGTTTTTTTTTTAAAATAGCGAACACTTTTTAAAAAAACGTAAATTTTAATTACAAACATAGGTTAAGTATTTTTAAAAATTGCTCTTTATCTGACTTTTGTTCTGAAGTTTGATGGTGTGCATAGAATATCTGTCTAACTTATAAGACTCCTGACGATATTTTAATATAATAATTTAAATGGAAATATGATCAGATCTTAATTGTAGCCACAATGGCAGTATCTCGCTAATAAAGGTTTGTGAGTAGCACCAACTATAATATTGTGAGAAAGTTTATGGTTAAATATTTTTGAACAAGACAGGTTGGGAATCTAAGTCCTTTTTGTTAGCAGAAAGTAAAATGGAAGTAAATTGCATTTTTAATACTGTTTCAAACAAACTACCACCTTGTAATAAAAGTATTGGCCCCGAACAGAAATATATTCCGATGAAGATATTCTACTGGTGTGTAAAATGAAGCCATTCATTCAGTAAACTGACAACTTTCCAGTTGGTGTTTGCTCTTGCTTAATTTAGTTTCCTCAACACAACTCATGAGGTAGTCTGGATCTGTTTTTGGCAGTCTTGGCCACTACAAACTCTGGCATTTCTGTCAGAAATATTACACTTCACAAGTCAAAATGTAATTGATAAAACCAGGAAGGTACAACAGGCGTTAAGTAAAAGAGCAAACATTTCATAGGCTCGTCTTTTCGTTTTTGAGACTTTGTAAAGTTCTCAGGTAACAAGGAAATATTGATGATTAATACTAAAACCTGCATATTCTGCACCCCTCTGTTGTATAAATATCACTGCCTGTTGTCCTTTAGAGGCGTTAATTACTGCATATCTAGTCCAGGTCTTCCTATTTTTGTCTATCCTTAAGATATATAAACATGCCCTTTCCTATCCTCCTAAAGAAGGAGGAGAATGACTATTTTGTTGAGCAGTATCATGTCTTGGGACAGTAAGGTTATGATTTGACTTTTGATAGATAAACCTGCACCCAAAGAGAAGATTTTCTGATTATTGTAAGGATATGTTCAGTTTAGGTCAGTGTATGAAGAAAAAGACTTGACTCAAAAGACCTTTATAAGCACTGTTTTTTTACATTGTGTTTTTTCTAATTAAAAAACACGTATTGAGTGATATCAGATGACACAGAGGATTAAGGTAGAATTACACAATTATATGATAAAATGTTTACAAGAGCAGGACATGTAACAACCCTTTTCAGATTGTGTTTAGCATTAATTTGTTGATGTTGCTTTGCGCCTAATCATTAAAGGGGCCATCAGAATTGAACTACTAGCCAGTTGTATTATTGCCCAGAACATAAGAAATGACAGTTTTAAAAAATGCTATCGTGCACTAGCTTTTCAACCCTGCAGACCAAGGCTCAAATTAGACGTTGGGCAATGGTGGAATAAATACGTTGGTCTCAACTCGGTCCCTAGTGGACATTTTATCACATCACAGAACTGAACACCATTCCACATGACGTGTAGGCCATAGTTACAGGAGGCCCTGGTTTGGCATCTCAAGGGATGTGAAGACTGTCATTTAGGTGAACTGGCAGAGTTGTGTGCATGAAATTTTGTTTAATATCCGTCTTTACTTTACACATTTTCTGTGCCATCGATCTGGTGCCTTCAAAGTTCTCCTTAAAACATCATAACATCACTGATGGAAAAGACCTATCAAATTGAATAGAAAATGCTAATCTTTCTATCAGTTTTTTAATCATTATCCTTTAGAGTTTAGTAGGGAATTATATCCCTGCTGTAGAACTCTATAGGATGATTAAGAAACCTGTAGAAAAAAATATTCTTTTTAAATTCTGTAGCTTTGAAAAATAATATTGATAGGACATTTCTGTCTAGATCTCCCCGGGCACCATCCCATTAAGTTCTGTAGAACTTTTCCATGCTCAGGTTGGAGGAGTAGAAAAATTAAATCGAAATGATCTGTGCCTAAGTTTTGAATAATCATGCTTAGCCTTCTTAAAAGTCATTTTCTGATTCCTAAACTGCTGTTGATGTAAACCTGATTTATTGTAAGTATATTTTTTTCAAAGCTCAGATCAATCGTTTTTCTCCTAAAGTTATTTAATAAAAAATATTTATTTTTCAAAATGTTACTAGCCCTTTAAAAACCTGCAATAAATGCTTTACAAGTGGCTAGACACCTTCCCTGGTGGTTTAATTTATACAAGCAGGAAACTTTCTCTCCTTCTCTTTCTCTCTCTCTCTTGTTTTCTTTAAACCAACTGACGTAATGCCAAACTTTGCTTTAAAAGAACAGACAGAAGTAATTGGTAGCTTTTAACTTTTA